AGGCAGGGGGGGCAGAGCAGGCAGGGGCAGAGGGCTCCCACACTCACTCTTCTTGCAGGAGGTGCATTTGCATCCCTCGCACTTGCAGGAGTCGGCGCCAGCGCAGGTGCAGGACCCTCCTAGACGGGGAGAGGGGAGAAGCCGCAGGAACGGTTCAAGTGGGAAAACTCGGGCGGGGCCCGTCCTAAAGGGAGGAGGCGGGGTGCCGAATCTCAGTGCCCTTTGGGGTATGCCCACCCTTCAGGAGGTTTAAAGTGGGAAATAAGGGTCCCTTCCCCCAAAAGTCCTTGTCGGGAGCCAGAGGACATGGGATTCTTTGGGAGTGCGGGGGCGCGCTGTGCCGCAGCATGGGGGAGGGGGCTCACCGGTAGGACAGGGGCAGGTCTCAGGGTCCATGTCGAGCGGAGATGGCGCTGGAGAGGGTGAATTGGCTTCTCCCGACCACTGGAGGCTCAGTGGCCGCAGGTGATGAGGCTTTTATAGCCCCAGGCGGGGGCGCGCAAGCACAGCCCGCGGCGCGCGCGCTCGGCGCCCCCTCTCCATCTGGGCTCCCAGGAAAGCGCGCATTGCGGCAGCAGTCCCCCTCCCCCACCGTGCTCCCCAACTCCCCGCTTGGCGGGCAGCCACCTACTTCCCACTGTGTGCACAGGGGAGGGCACTCCCCACCCGGGGGCACGCCTCGGTGTGCACGGCGGGTCGCGTTCTTGAGACCCAGGCTTCAGAACCGTGAGAGCAGTCTCCCCGTCCACGCCCCACGGTGATGGGTAATTTACATGTCACCCCCCCTGGGCCGAGGGAGGCCCAGACAGCGGGGAAAGCCTCACTTCAGAGTGTGTCTGTGAGGCTGTGTCCGGAAGGGATTAGCATTTGAATTGTTAGTCTGAGTGAAGTTTGCTCCCACCAGTGTGGGTGGGCAGCAGCCAGGCTGCTGAGGGCCTGGATGGAGAAAGGCAGAAGGAGGGCAAATGGCCTTGCCTGAGCCCAGACATCCCTCTCCTGCCCAGAGACGTTGGCCGCTCCCGGTTCTCAGGTTTCTAACGGCCTGAATGCACCACCCGCTGTCCTGGTTCTCCGGCGTCCAGGTGGGAGACTGTGGGCCTCAGCCTCCACAGCATGTGAGCCAACTCCTATCATAAACGCATAACCTATGCTAATGTATGTACAGGGCGGGCAAAAGTAGCTTTACAGTTGTGACTATGTAAAAGTTTATTCTTGCATTATTATTTATTAATGATTGTATTGTTTTCCATATGAACAGCTGTAAACCCACTTTTGCCCCACCATATATATATATGTATATATATACACACACACATATGTACATAGATATATATGTATATGGATATATATGTACATATATGTCATATCAAGATCCATATATATATATACTGGTTCTGTTTCTCTGGAGAACCCTAATACAACCCCCTACACCCTAGGGTAGCCAGGATCTTGAGGGGTCTGAAAACCATAACATCCTTCTAAAATACCCTCCTCCCCTTTATTCTTCCTTTATTGTATAAATTTTTGGAGAATTAAATATTTGCAGATATAATCCTTTCAAATATAAAATTAGAAGCCTACAGTACACTGATTTATAAATGACTTTTCCCATATTTATCAATAGATTGTAAATTTCTGTCCCTGAAATTAATTTCACTTCTACGATTTTTAAAAAATATATTTTTATTGATTTCAGAGAGGAAGGGAGAGGGAGATAGAAACATCAGTGATGAGAGAGAATCATTGATTGGCTGCCTCCTGCATGCCCCCCACTGGGGGTCAAGCCTACAACTGGGGCATGTGCCCTTGACCGGAATTGAACCTGGGACTCTTCAGTCTGCAGGCGGATGCTCTGTCCACTCAGCCAAACTGGCTAGGGCTACGTCCATGATTTTTCCCTTTGGAGACAACAACATTCTTTAAAGTAGAATTTGTGTCTCAAAATATACATACTTTTTTCTTTTCAAACAGTATTTATTTTAATAAAGGCCATGTCAGTAAATTTTGGGAAATTCTGAAAAATAGAAAGAAAGAAAATATCTGTGATTTGAACTCAGCCACTGCCAACATTTTAGTATATTTCATTTCACATTTTGTATTCTATGTGGCCTTTCTTCTGAAAAAAAAAAAAAAATGACTGCATAACTAATTCATAGCCTATAATTTAAGATTTTACCAAAATCATTTCCTGTGCATTTTTAGTGGCTGTGTCATGTCCCATCATGTGCATGGGCCACAGCTTACTTGAACAATTTCATAGCCTTAGACATGAGGTTGTTTCCAGTTTTTCACAATTATAAGTAGTACTGAAGTGCACCCCGCTGTGAGTGAGTGAGTGAGGCTTTCCCCCCATTGAATTTGTGGTGAGTTCCCTAAAATAGATTTCCAGTAGTGAAACTATTGGGTAAAATGGGAACAAATGTTTTTGTGGTCCATTGATTACATTGCCAAATTATTTTATGTTTTAAAAATATTTTTATTGATTTCAGAGAGGAAGGGAGAGGAGGAGAGAGATGGGAACATCAATGATGAGAGAGAATCATTGATCAGCTGCCTCCTGCACATCCCACGCTGGGGATCGAGCCCGAAACCTGGGCATGTGCCCTGACCGGGAATTGGACCATGACCTCCTGGGTCATAGGTCTACACTCAACCATTGAGCCACACCAGCCAGGTGCCAAATGATTTTAAAAGCCGTATGCCCTGTGAATCTGGGTGGGAGTTTACACTTTGTGAAGGCCTTTGCAACTAAGGCGCAATCGTCTCTTTGAGAGCTGGCTTTGATTTATCCTCCGAGCATTTGTACCTGAGGGTCTAAGCCCTTTCTGGGATGTCTGGGTCCCAAAGCCAGCCAGCGTGAAGCCTGAACACCCCTCTCCACCCTTGTACCATTCCCAAGGGCCCAGTTAGTCCTGCCTCAGCTGCCTGTGTGCCTGGAGCGCCCCCTGCAGCCCACACGAGGAACTTCCCTTCTTGTCTTGTGACCGGGCCTCCATTCCTTTCCCACCAAGCCCTCCTCTGGTCTCCATCCAAGTTGGAATGTATCCTGAGCAGGTGCAGAGTCTGTCACAGCCCCGCCGAGGTCTCCATTGTCTTCCTTAGGCAGCACGGGAACACGATCCATGACGTGTCAGCCTCCTGACACAGCACCTGCCGGCTCCCGGAAGCTCTGCCGTGGGAAAGCTCTCCTTTGTAAACCTACAATCTGTTTCCTTCGTGTCTCCTCTGCTTAAGGTCGCTTGTAACCCGTTTGCTTACTTTCCACTTCAGCTCCACCCCTCCCCCGCCTTCCCACATGGTCTTCAAGCTTCCCTCTCAGCTAGTCCTGCCCGAGTTGGGGGTCTTCTCCGAGCCTCAGTTTCCCCACCTGTAGAATGGAGGTAGCAATCCCCATTCTGTAGGGCTGTTGCACAGATGAGCAATTATACCAGTAAAAAGCCTACAAGATGGTAGACTGAAAACAGGCATTTACCTCTCCTTCCTCCTGAAAATCGATCAAAAGAAACTTTAAAAAGACAAGGAGAGAAAAGAGGAAAACTGATAAATGAGCTGGGGATTGGAGTTTGTGGAGCAGAGACTGCCGGGCCCTTGGGCTAGGTCCAGTTAGAGCCCAGCAGAACGAAGATTGCTCCCCACAAATCCCACCCTTTCCCTGTGCCCCAGGCTGCTGGTTCCTGGAACAGGCCATTGCCCTTCCTTAGGCAAGTGGGTAAGTCTTTGCCCCATTATCCGGGGTGGGTCACACCCCAGTACCCCTACTCATCCCGCCCTGTCCTACATAACCCCTAACGCCTGCCACACGGTGCAGGGGGCATCCATGTCGTCTTGCTGTCCCCAGATGAGCCTCGTATGTATATAAGTTCCCTTCCTAAGCTCTTCATATAATGATGGAGTTGTTAGCCTCTTTCTTTGGTGTCTTGGCCTCAAGAAATTTTATATAACAGTGTGAGGAAAGAGGACTTGGACAAGTACACCACTGAATCAGACTTTAACATTTTTCTGGAATACCAGACTGGGTCAAATCACATTTATGGGTGACGAATGGGAGCAGAGAAAGGCACAGCTCAGATCAAGACATAGAGGGAAGTCAATGAGGGATTGTGCTTTGTGTTATTGGGGAATCAGGCTGGGGCAGCAGAAGATGAAGGAGCTGCAGAAGCCAGGATTCCTGGGGGATGGTGCGGACCAGGTCTCAGATCTGTCCCACTGTAAGGGTAAAGACATGGGGTATCTATTTTACCTCCTAACTACTATTTGGCATTGGTTAAGGGCTATTCCCAGTGGCCTTGACTGCCCAGTCCTCCCAGCCTACTCTGTGCTTGTGGCAAGAAAGCTCAGGCAACCCAGCCAGTGTGGCTCAGGGGTTGAGAGGTGACCCAGGAACCAAGAGGTCACGGTTTGATTCCGGGTCAGGGAACATGCCTGAGTGGTGGGCTCAATCCCCAGTGTGGGGTGTGCAGGAGGCAGCCAATTGATGATGTGTGTGTGTGTGTGTGTGTGTATGTGTGTGTGTGTGTGTGTGTTTTAAAAAAATATTTTTTTATTGCTTTCAGAGATGAAGGGAGAGAGAGAGTAAAAAAAATATATATAGAGAAACATCAATGATGAGAGAGAACTATTGATTGGCTGCCTCCTGCACATCCCACACTGGGGTTCAAACCTACAACCTGGGCATGTGCCCTGACCTGAAATTGAACCTTGACCTCCTGGCTCATAGGGGACGCTCCAGCACTGACCCATGTGCAGCTGGGCTGATGATGTTTCTCTCTCCTTGATGTTTCTACCTCTCTAACCCTCTCTCTTCCTCTCTCTTTCTCTCAAAATCAATCAAAACATATATTTTTTTAAAAAAGGCCCAGGCAGCAGGAGAAAGCCCCCAGGCAGAGTTGCAGGAGCCTGCCGTTAGCAACCTGGGCAGAAGGGATGCAGGCAGGCAACCGCCGTATCTGCAATGGAGTTGGCCCTTCTGGGTCCTTCTGAGCGAGGCTCAAACAGTGCTCTGACCACCAGACAACCATGAATGGAAACTTTATTGCTCCAACACTTTACATGAATGTCACCAACACCTCGTTGGGCAAATATATAAAAAGCACACTCATCTCAACTTCTCCACTAATGCACTGTACAGATGATTCCCAGGCCGCACCCCAGCACACCGGGTGCCCTTCAGGGGCAGCAGCTGCACTTGCTGGAGCCTCCTTTGCAGATGCAGCCCTGGGCACACTTGGCACAGCCCGGGGGGCAGCAGGAGCAGCAGCCTGGAAGGGTCGGGAGATGGACAGATCAGCTTGCGGTCCACACTGCTTGCTCTCTTACCACCTCCCCTCCCACTGCTCAGAGGAAGTGGGAAAAGAAGAACCTGCCATGGGCTTCAATCCGCAGTCCCAAAACCCTGGGACCGGACGCTGAGGGATGTTAGAGCTGGAAGGCATCTCAGAGACCATGCGGAGTCCATCAGAGGCCCAGAGTGGGGCCAGGGTTTGCCCAAGGGTATTGGACAGTGGCTGATCCGGGACCCAACCCCAGAGCTGCTGACTCCAGGCCAGTGCTCTCTCCCCATCTCCGCTGGGCAGGCTGGAACCGCCCCGCAGTCCTCCCAAATGGGCCAAAGGCACCCAGATCCCCTCCCTCCCACCATGGCTGGGGGTTGTGGATGGAGGGAACAGAGTTTCCTAGCGCCTGGCCCTCGGTGCCCCGGTCGCCAGACTCACTTTTTCGACATGTTTTACAGTTGCAGGTTGTGCATTTGCAGTTGTCTCCACAGATGCATATTCCTCCTGGAAGAGAGGACAGAGCACAAACGTGAGGACCAAGGCGGACCTGCAGAGCGCCCCCGTGGCAGGGTCTCCGGGCCGTCGCTGGGCCGTGCTGGGCAAGAGGGGAAGATGCTGCCAAGCATCATTCCAAGCGGGGGAGGACCACCCAGTGGTTCCCAGTCCCCAGGATCCTCGTTAACATGCAGATTCCTGGGACCAACCTTTGAGATGTTCTGATTCAAAGATCTGGGTGGGAAAAGGGAGTCAGTATATATATTTTAAATATTTTTATTGATTTCAGAGAGGAAGGGAGAGGGAGGGAGGGAGAGAGAGAGAGAAAGAGAGAGAGAGAGAGAGAGAAACATCAATGATGAGAAAGTATCATTGATCGGCTGTCTCCTGTACACGCCCCCCGGGATTGAGCCCACAGCCCTTGACCGGAATTGAACCTGGGATCCTTCAGTCTTCAGGCTGTTGCTCTATCCACTGAGCCAAACTGCTGGGGCAGTATTTTTATTTTTATTTTTATTTTTTAAAATATATTTGTATTGATTTCGGAGAGGAAAGAAGAGGGAGAGACAGATAGAAACATCAATGATAAGAGAGAATCATTGAGCCCTAACTGGTTTGGCTCAGTGGATAGAGCGTTGACCTGCGGACTGAAGGGTCCCAGGTTCGATTCCAGTCAAGGGCATGTACCTTGGTTGCAGGCACATCCCCAGTAGGGGGTGTGCAGGAGGCAGCTGATCTATGTTTCTCTCTCATCGATGTTTCTAACTCTCTATCCCTCTCCCTTCCTCTCTGTAAAAAATCAATAAAATATATTTTAAAAAAAAGAGAGAATCATTGATTGATTGCCTCCTGCATGCCCCCTACTGGGGATTGAGCATGCAACTAGGGCATGTGCCCTGACCAGGAATCGAACTGTGACCTCCTGGTTCTGAGGTCAACAGTCAATCACTGAGCCACGCAGACCTGGTGGAAGTCAGTATTTTAAAAGAGCAACACAGGTGATTCTACTGTAGAATCCAGTTTGAGAACCACTGGGCTAGGGCCATCTCCACCAAGTCCAAGTTCCCACAGGAACCATTGAGGAAACTGAGACCAGGAGATACTAAGTGTCAGAAAGGATTGCAGCAATGGACCAGAACCAGGTTTCCAGGACGTGGGCTGGAGCCCTTCCCCTGTCCTGGTGGCTGCCTTAGGGGCCTGCTGCTAGGTGCCCCCCACAGTCATTCCAGAGCCAGGCTATCAATTCTAGCAAATGAGGCTGGTAGCCAACAGAAGATGGGGGCTGCCCCAGAGGTCCCCAGTCTGAAACAAACACCACTGGTGGCTCCTACCTGCAGGAAGGAGGCCTGAACCAGACACCTGCAGGCTCTGCAGCCTCCCTGGGGGAAGCTGGGGCACAGTCCCAAAGCCCACGGGTGGGCATCCTTTTAAAAAATGTCTATTTGTATTGATTTCAGAGAGGAAGAGAGAAGAGAGAGAAACATCAGTGATGAGAGAGAATCATGGATCAGCTGCCTCCTGCACGCCCCACACTGGGGACAGAGCCTGCAACCCTGGGCATGTGCCCTGACCGGGAATCGAACCGTGACCTCCCGGTTCATAGGTCGACGCTCAACCACTGAGCCACACCAGCCAGGCCAGGGCGGGCATCCTTACTCACCAGACAAGCAGGAGCACTCCCCAGGGTCCATGGTCCAGGTGTCCGAGGGGCTCGGGTGTGTCTGTGATGGAGAAAGGAGGTGAGTGAGCAGCCGCTGGAGGCTGCTATTTATAGCCCAGCAGCTGCTGGTGTAGGTTCGCCCCACCTCCCCCTGGGGCCAGACGCTTTGCGCTTTGCATGCGGCTGAGCCAGACACCACAGGGGAGAGCAGTACAGTCATCCAGGTGGCTTTTTATCACTGAGGATGCGGGTGACTGCCCCCCTCCCACACGCCCACCTGCCAAGGTGTCAGGGATCCAGGCTCAGGCTCAATGGCACCTGGGGGCTCAGGTTGGCAGCTACATCCACCCAGTGTCCCTGTCCTGTGCATCCTATTACCTGCCCTTTCTGCTTCCTCCTTCACAGGGGCTGCTCCCGCCCTGGCTCAGGGTTGTCTTCTGGCTCCCCTGGTTGGCAGGAGGGGCTGGGTCCTAGTTCTGGGCTTTGGAAGACCCCACTTGGGCCTTCTTCTGGATGTGACTTCCAGTCCCCATGGGTGAGAAGGCCAAAAGTCAGGGGCATGTGCCACCTGGAGCCCGAACCCTGTCTGACCTCAGTTTACTCATCTGCAATCAAGCTAATGAAAAGGAGAGCCCTACAGCCCTGGCCCCGTTGTGTGGCTTAAATGAGAGAATGCCTATTAAGGACTCAGTTCAGCACCTGGCACATAAATATTATTAGTATTATTACTATTATCATTACCTGTGCCTATTACAACTTGGCAGCCATCCACCCATCTGTACGTTTCAGGCTCATGGGCCAGCCCTGGGGTCCTGGGCAGGGTGCATTCATCAGCAGTAAATATTGGGGAGAGTTGTCATCTCTGGGGTCCCTGCTTCTAAGCTCCACCTAATTATTTTCTGGGTCCCCGGTTCTGGGGGCCACGGGGCCCTGACTCCCCTTGCTGCAGTTTCCATGTTTGGAGGCAAAGTTGACCTTCCACCTACAGAGCCCTGTCATGGGGGTTTTGTGGCCGCCTCCATAAGGCTAGGCGCGAGAGGTGGGTGGACAAAATCAGAGCAGGCAGGGACCCTTGGATCCTGCATGGTCAGCATTAGAGGATCCCTGAGAAGCCATGGGCCAGGCCCTTGTTGTTCAAATGGGGAAACAGAGGCCCAGGGAGACAGTCGATCCCCCGTCACTGGGCATAGTGGCATAGTGGTGCCAGGGGCATTTGGACCTGGCTCCTCGGCCATTGCAGCACCCACACTCTAGGTGTAAGGCACTCCTGACAGAACTGTTCGGCAGTTTGGAGCCTGTGGCATTCAGTTACTTCATTATTAAAAAGTTCAAACATACTCAAAGCACCGAGAACAGTGTTACAAACACCACCGTGTCTGCCACCCAGAATTAATAGATGTCAACGCCGTCATATTTGCTTCGACTCTTTTATTTATAAGAAATAAAAAATTAGCAGGCGCAAGGCTTTAAATGTTGTCTGTGCGCTGGGGCTCCCAATGTACCCCTCCAGGTGGCCTCTCTTTTGAACTCCAGATCCAGGTTCCACACGGATGCCCAACAGCATCTCACACGTGGCATATCCTGAACCGAGCTCCCGCTCCCGGCCTCCGCTCCAACCAGGCCCTCCCACAGTCTGCTGCCTCCATTGCCCCCTGGTTTGAGCCAGCATCATCTCCCACGCAGATTCAACACTCATTTCCTAAGCGGCCACCTGTGTCTGCCCTTGGCTTGGACCCTTATGCAGCATTGTCTTTATTATAAAACTGCTGCAAGGAATATCCCTGTTCATGTCACGTACCTGAGTGTACAAGGCTCACTCATCCTTAGAAGGAGGATGGCGAGGGTGTAGGGAAACAAGTGCTCTCCAAAGATCCTATCCTAATTTAGCAATTTCTGAGAGTCGCCATTTCCCTATCTCCTCCTCCAATACTTCCTATGGTCAGACTTTGAAATGTTTGCCCATCTGGTAAGTGTAAAGAAGTGCAATGTATCTCACTGAGGTATGATTTGCATGTTCCTGCCTCCCACCATCCATTAACACCCAGAGTGTGAGCCATGGGCTAGCTGTCCTCACATGGACCGTGGGTGTCTCATCAGCCTTTCACACTCTAGCAAGAGAGAGCACAGTGAGGATCATGGGCTGCGGTTCTTCCCACAGGGTTCTAATCCTGGCTCCTCCATCTGCTGCTGGACAATCTCAGACAAGTTTTTTTTTTTTTTTTTTTAATATTTCAGAGAGAAAGGGAGAGGGAGAGAGATAGAAACATCAATAATGAGAGGGACTCATTGATCAGCTGCCTCCTGCACGCCCCCTACTGGGGATCGAGCCCACAACCTGGGCATGTGCCCTTGACTGGAATCGAAACAGGGGCCCTTCAGTCCCCAGGCCGACGCTCTATTCACTGAGCCAAACCAGCTAGGGCCAGACAAGTTTCTTTATTGCTGTGAACTTCAACCATAGAATGGAGATACCTGGGCCCACTCCTAGAGTTTGTGGTGAGGATTAAGAGAAACTGAAAAAGATTAGGTGTTTAATACACAATTGCTCGAGGAATAGATTTTATTAAGACTTCGTGTTTATAGCGGAGGGATAGGTTGAGAGGCAGCTTGATATGGAGTTAGGTATGCCTGGAGCTCAGCCCCAACACTTAGCCACCTCTGTAAACATCAGTTTGTCATCTTTATTTTTAAAATATATATATATATTTTTAATGATTTCAGAAAGGAAGGGGGATGGAGAAAGAGATAGAAACATCAATGATGAGAGAGAATCATTGGTTGGCTGCCTCCTGCACGCCCCACACTGGGGATGGAGCCTGAAACCGGGCCTGTGCCCTGATGGGGAATGGAACCGTGACCTCCTGGTTTCTGGGTCGATGTTCAACCGCTGAGCCTCGCCAGCCGGGCTCATCTTTAGACGGGAGATGATTGTGAGCAGACAGGAGATACTAGGGCGGAAAGCCCAGAGGAGAAGTAAGAAGCCATAAAGAGCACAAAAGACAACAAATCTTCTTTGTCTCAAATCTGTCCATGTCCCGGCCTGTAAGAGCATAGCGGGCACAGACCCCCAGACCCTGGTGGGTTGGGCTTTGGGGTGAGAGGCTGGTTGAGAAGAGCAGGGGCAGCCCCCCCGCGCCCCTCCGCCTTTCCCATGCACTATTCACTCCTCCCCCGCTGGGCTAAGGGGGTGCTTGCCTCTTTGTGGTCCCAGTTCTGACAGCTGTGCTGAAGGAGTTTCAACAATCTTACCATTAAGAGGAGCTGCTGTGGGTTTTGATAAGCTGTAAAGCTTTTCACATTTCCTTTCCATATATTTTTCTAGAGATGGGTCCCATCAGCTAAGGTAACAATGAATGTATGTCTGTGTGTGTACACATGAGAAAGAGAGAGAGAGAGAGAGAGAGAGAGAGAGAGAGAGAGAGAGAGAGAGAGAGAGAGAGAGAGAGAGAGACATGCCAGGGAGGTTGGGGTTGTTCTTTCTCAGAATAGCTCTAAGAAAGCACCCCCCCCCCCCCAACCTAAATACACACACACACACACACACACACACACACACACACACACACACGATTCTGCGTTTCTGACGTCCAATCCCACTCAGGAGCCCTGGCGAAGGACCCCCCAGCCTCCCAGGGGGCGGGCGGGCTGCGAAAAGCAGGCCACGGCTAAATGAAGAGCCACTTTGGGGAGCCCAGTCAGTCACCTGTGCAGCCGGCGGCTTCACAGACTCTCCAGGGCTGGCGGCTGCCGGTTAATTAAAAGGGACTCCGGCCCCACCGCTGTCATCCAGCACCCAGGGCGCAAGTGAGACCTCCGCCTTGCAGCTTTGCGCAAGGCCGGAGGAACGATGAGTAAGGCCGCAGCGGCAATGACCCACGCTCCTTGCCCCCAGCAGCCAGCGGCTGGCCCAGGTTGGCTGGCAGCCCAGGTTAGGGCTTTGGAGAGGGGGAAGGAGGCGCAAGTTCACCTTTTTTCCTTCTTTCTCTGCCCCCCCCCCCCCCCCCTTACTCTCTCTGTCTCTCTCCCCTTTCATCAATCATTCAGCAACATATTCAGGGCTGCCTGTGTGCTAGGCTTCAGGTCAGCCCTCTGCGTGGGGTAAGTGAACCAGACACAGGGCCTGGGCCTCAGGAGCTTGATGCCCAGCAGAGGCGATGAGCGTGCCCACAGCTGTCGGAGAAGGAGGAAGCAGCGGGTGCAGGTGAGGACGCACGGGTGCAGGGCAGCACCCAAAGGACCCCGGGAGTGGGGACCTGTCTACGTGTTGAGCCCTAGGTGCCTCACTTGCCTCTCCCTAGTCTCGGCCCTCCCTCCCTCCCAGTCTAGGGCACTCTGGCTCCCTCAGGGCATGTGGGGTGCACGCTCAGAGCCCTGGGCTTCACGGAGGTGCTTGCAGGAGCTGCTGCAGATGGGAGGTTAGGCCACACGCCTCCCCAGTGGGAGCAGGTGCAGGGACAGCCCGGAGCCGCATCCTCAGCCTGAGCCCACGGGGATGGTCAAGTCGGCAAGGTTGGTCATGGGTCCTGCACTTGGTCCCTTTTACTTAGAAATCCTCCCTCTGACGGCAGTGGGTTCAGAGCCAGGAGTTCTGGAACTGACGTAATTCTAGATGCCTGAGCTGTCAGGGCAACAGTGGTCCACACCGCTGCTCAGCCTCAACCCCAACTGCAGGTTGGAAGCGTGAGGCCGAGAGCGAGAGTCCTTGCCTGGGGTCCCACCGCCAGTGCGGCCGCTGGGTGAGGCGAGGGACTGAGGAGGAGCACCTCCCAGGGCCCGGGCAACCTCCTGGGTGGCTGCAGAGTATGCCCATTCGCAGAGCCAGCGGCTTGGATGAAGCAACCGCTGAGGGCCCCACACGATACCACACGAGTCACAGGGTGGGGGGTGGGGGTGGGGTTCCTGAGAAGGAGTTTTTACAGTGTCATTGGGGTGCCGAGACGCACAAAGAAGAAACCACTGGCGAGAATCACAGAACCGCATGCTCTGATGATGACATAAGCTAGGGGCCTCGTGTACATGCCTGTCTCTTCTCTCACTCTCTGTCCCTTCTCCTTCTGTTTTTCTTTTAAAAAATATATATATTTTTAAATTGATTTCCGAGAGGAAGGGAGAGGGAGAGAGAGATAGAAACATCAATGATGAGAATCTTTGATCAGCTGCCTCCTGCAGGCCCCACACTGGGGATCGAG